AAATAATTTCAAATTTATAGGCATTTACAAGGAACACCCAAACACCCATTACCAGCATCACTTAACATGTTATTTTCTCCTCACTCTCGAGGTATTTCTCAGCCATGCACACCTTCTAGTCTTTTACTCCTAAATACTGCAGCATTTAGGGACATAACCACAGTATAGTTATCCACTTGAGTGATTTTAACATTGATACTTTTATCTAATCAATCTACCATCTGTTTGCCAATTAACCCAATAATGTGCTTTATAGAATTATTTTCCCCTCCAGTAAAGGTTCCAGTGTAGTGTTTCATATTGCATTTACTTGTCATGGCTCTTCAGTTGGGATATGTTCATAGCCTTTGTCATTTATGGCACTGACATCCCTGAAGAATACGACCACCAAGCACCTCCCCCACCCTAAGTAAAAGACAAAACGAAACCCAGAACATTCTTCATTGGGGATCTGATATTTCTTTATTAGATTCCCCATTAGAATTCTTCATTTCCTCATTCGGTGCCGTGTCCTCTGGGAATCACATCTCAAGGCAAACAATGTTCGTCTGTCCCTCACTCATGATGTTAATTTTGATTACCTGGTCAAGATTTTGTCCAATTTCTCTGCTGTATCATTGGTGTTTTTCCTACGCAACTAATAGGAAGTCTATAGGAAGACCTGTAAGATGATGCAAATGTCCTGTTCCTCATCAAAATTTCTCCTTACATTAGCATCCATTGATGGGTTTTGTCTTACCTAATCTTCGCCACAATGGTTGCAAAATAATGATTGTCTAATTCCAGCATGCCCTCCACCCTTACCTCTTGGCATTCAACATTCCACCATAAATAAGAGCACTCCCTTCTTCTCCATTTATTATATCTATGTATTACTGGTATGGATTTAGGAATTCCTGGGGTTTTTGTATTCTAACCCTACTTTGAATGCAGGATATATAGGCATCTACTGTGATGAGTATTATCGACAGAGATCCTTTCTATTAAGTATAAAGAGCAATGCCTAAAATTTATACAAAGATCGTAGAACGCAATAATAATTCACTTATCTGAATATACTTATTCATATCTCCAAAATATTAAGGGAAATAGGAAAAGTAGGCAAATGGCCTTTACATTGAGTAAATGCCCCCAAATACTTGAGTTGTTTTAGCATATTCTGAGGTTCTTTCCTCTTATTTTATATATCCATTAAAAATATTGGTTGGTTGGTTTCCCAGGCTAATGTGATAAGACAATTCGAAGGGAGTTGTGTGAATGTGTATATATATGCAAGCAGTGCTGTGGGAGAGCTATGGCAACAAGAGGGGACGGCAGGAAGATCAATCATGAACACCATCCAGATCAATTACACCCCTAGGAATTCAGGAACTTAGTAGGCCATGATTATTTATTATAGGGTGAAGGATACTAAGTACTTCTAAGCTCCTAGGGACATCCTGGTATTACTGTTTTTGATTATAAAATCCCTCTGGGTCATTAGGAATAGGTTAAACTATACTGTGTTTTATTAGTTTAAGGCAGAGAAACTGGTGCTATTTCAGAAAAGAATCAATACATGTGGTTTAAATTAAATCATTTCTAGCGCTTTAAGAAGAAAACCTATGCTATCCAGAATATCTAGTTATATTCAATTCCTCAGTGTCCCCCCCCTTTTTTTTATCTTGTCAGATAAGTGACGCATTACTGACATTGTCTTTAAAGTTAATGTTGAAAATGATTAGTTCATGCAAAATTGTATTTAAGTACTAGCAGGTCCCCAAGAGCTGTTCCGGAGAAACATTAATCGTCGTCAAGTAAATACTCCTCTGTTGATCCATTGCCTGCGTAGAGCTGCCCATGTGAGAAACAGCTCAATCTTAAATTAGGCCTTATGCCTTTTGACAGTTGGTGCTCATATTTGAATGGACTGTTGATTATCTTTCTTCTTGGTACTTTAATATCTGTGGCATGTCTCACTTGATTGGGAATTGTGGGAGGCTCTCCTTGTAACTTGGTGTCAGATTTCTGGAGGATATGTGTCTATCTCTTCAATGTCCTCCCCATATACCCTTTCCCTTAAAGTGAATTTTGGGTATGTCACTTTGCCTGTATTTGAAATCAGAATATTGCAAACATAACCGATAAAAATTTCAAAAATAAATTTTCAAAATATTTTTTCAAGTATATGTATTTAAAAAGAGAAATCAATGGTTTAAAGAAATAATAGAGGTGTATGTTACTTAAATTCAGTTGGTTGTAATAGAATTAGGTGTTATTGAAATAATAAAGTTTCTTTTTTTTAATGTTTATTTATTTTTTAAGGAGAGGGAGGGGTAGAGAGAGAGAGAGGGAGATAAGGAATCTGAAGCAGGCTCCAGGCTCTGAGTTGTTAGCACAGAGCCCTTCTTGGGGCTCAAAATCCACAAACTGTAATCTTGCGACCTGAGCCCAAGTCGGACGCTTAACCGACTGAGCTACCCAGGTGCCCCTGAAATAATAAACTTTCTAACTTTGATTTTGTTTTGACGGCAATAATGAGATGAGTTGTTTGTTGATTTGTTTCTTGCTGTGGCGGTCTCTTGTCTCTGAAACTGCTTGTTCTATATCTAAATTAGTTCTTTGGCTAACCCCTTGGCAATAATTTTGATGGATAGTGAGAGAACTGTTACATAATGGTGATTCCTCTGAAATGATTTTAAACATATTGAATTCTTACTGATTTCTATTTTATAGAATGACATTTCACTTTTATACATTAGTACTCTTCGTTATACGAAGACTTTGCATTATTTCTTGTCTTCTGGCAAAAGCAAAAGGAATACATTTAGCAACTCACAGAATTTAACTGTGATAAAAGATGCTCTGGTAAAGGAAATTTGCTCCTGATTCTCTTTTAAATGTAAAAAGATTATTGATTTGCATATCAATAAATGGAAGGGGCGTTGACTTTCTAAAATAATTTCTATGCTATGACAAAAAAAGACACAGAATAAACCTTTTTTCTGTGTTTTTATTTGCAAATCCTTAATCTTACCACTTTCAGAAATTTGAACTCAATACAACTCTAAAGGTTAATGAAACTATTATTTTAAGGTATCATGAGAAACAGATTTTGAGTAATTATTCCAAACTCAGAAAGTCAGTACATATAAGAATTTAGTATATCCATGGCCTACCTTCATGAGTCACATGCCTTTTTCTCTTCAAAGTCCAAAAGAAAAACTTCCCTGCTCTTACAGTAAACTGTGAAAATTATTGGCAGATGTAGGAACACAGGCTCATTTGTTTTTATGAAACCTTAATTCAAGTTTAAAGTAACTGCAAAACATTAATACAAAATAGAATTCCCTGTTGTTTCTTGGTTTTCTTATTTCTTAAAAGCGGTGATAATGGGATATGTATCTATGCATATATATAATTGTTGTATGTATTATTGTTGGCACACAGCCAACCACCTTTTCCTTAATCTCTTACTAACACTTTAAAAAGAATAAACATTTACCTAACTTGATAACTAGAAGGGTTTTTCCTCCAAGTGCTAATTCTGTTTGCCAGTTGTTTCTTTGGGACTTGAAGCAATTAGCATCTATGGGAAAACTTCCTGTATACATAATACTTTTCCCCTTTCCCCCCCTTTTTACCAATAGTCTGTTTTCCTTTTTCTCAGTCTATTCTCACTTGAAAGTTGTTTTATTCCCTACTTTTGGTTTCTCTACTTCTCCCAGTGATTTCATCATGATTCTTTTCAAGACTTTCTCTGAAAGTAAAATGCAATAAAGAAAAACCATAAACTTTGTCTATTCTTGTTTTTTTTTTTTTTTAAACTTACCTTTGGGTGTGGGGAGCTGGAGAAAAAGCTTTAAAGAAGTGACCCTATTTGAGGGAAGGGGGTTCAAGGGGGCATTCTAGCTTCCCTAAGAGTCAAGGGCTATGATACCAGGCGGTCAAAGGAGGAAATAATTAGCATTCTTCAATATACAAGATTAATCAGTTCTGCTTGGTAGTTCTAAAGGGGAGGAAAGAAATCAAATGGGAACAATTTTGGTCCTTTCATGTTTCATACCCAATGCTAGTCAGTACACAATATTCCTTCCACATTCTACTGTAAATTGCCTGAAGAGTTGCAGATCATCAAATAAGCATCCATTTCCAAATGGTCTAATGACAGCATATATACAGGTGGCTCCCTTAAAACCTTCCATTTATAGTCACACTGCATCAAATGGTGCTAATTTTAAGTAGGCCGCCCCATACAGTGCACCCTCTGAAACAACACCCTTTCGCCGTTTATAACGAATCTATTCCTTTTTCATTCACAGAAAATATTTGATATTTCAGAATCTTGTTCGTGCATTGACGTGAAAATACTTTTCACCTGGACCGCATCAATCTGCGATCCCCTGGGATGCCAAATTTCTGTCATTTGCTTATTAAGCCGCGGGCAGTCCTCAGCAAACACTTACAAAGGCCTACTTCTACTAACACTTCCCGAATCTTAATGTGTGAGAGTATTGATCACCAGAATTTATGATCCTACGGCAGTGGGGCGGCTCTTCACAAGTGGAGCCCCTTCACTTGTTCCCAGCGACTAATTCTAAAAACACCAATGGCGCGGGCAGAATATTTCATCTGCGGACCAAGTGTTTCCTGACTTTGTTCTTCGGCCTTAAAGGTGAGGTGCCGGCGCTGATGGCGGGCCCCTTGCAGGGAGGGGTGGCCGGCGCCCCACCTGTCAGCCCTCCGACCCTTACCGCCCCTCCGTTGGGCTGGTAGCGGCCCCTCCCTCCCGCGGGCGCGGGGGCGGGGGCTGCGGCAGGCAGCGCGCGCCGCGATCACCGGTCCCCGGCGGCAGTTGGGCGTTTGGGGCAGCGGAGCAGCAGGCGCCGCGCGCGCGGCGAAGACCCCGCCGGTCGCGGCCCTGGGGGCACGCGCGAGCGCACTCGTTTGGTGCGCGCGCCCGCCGCTCCGCCCCGCCCTCCCTGCGCGCGCCCTGCAGGTCCGCTCTCCTCCCCCACCCGCGGCACGGACGGGGTGGATCCAGCTTACTCCCCTCCCCCCGAACGGCGGCGGCGGCGGGCGCTGAATGAGAGACGCCGACTGCTCGGGTCGCCAGGCGCTAGCCTAGGCGGCGGCGGCGACGGCGGACCTTGAGGCCGACGTCGTGTTCCCATCCTCCGAGGCGACGGCGGCGGCTGCACAGGTCGGTGCTCTGGCCGCGGGCCTGGTGCGGAGCCTCGGCGGGCGGTGCGGGGGAGGGAAGGTGGGTGCGCTGCGCCCCCCGGGAGGCGCGGAGCCGCGGCGGCGGCGGCGCGGGGAATGGCGGCGGCTCCGCCGCTGCGGTGTGGCTCTCTGGCCGCGGGCCCCAGGGCTGCTTGCCCTCGGCTTGGAGAGGGGGCTCGGGCTGAGGGAAGAGGGCGCTGGGCGCCCCGGGCCGCGCCTCCCTCGGCGGCTCGCTCTCGGAGGCTGGAGGCGGCCGTGGGCTCCCCGCTCCCGGTCTCTGTCCCGAGGCCGGGGGCGCGGCGGCCCCGTGCGGCCGCCTCTCTCTCCCTCCTGGGTGGCGGGAGCCCCTGGCCGCGGCCCGCACTGCCCCGGCGCCGGGCTGCGCCTCAGCCTCCCTTCAGGTGAGCCCGAGTCCTGACCGCCGCGCGGAGACCGCGGAGCCGGGCCACACCCCCTCCCCTGGCCCTGGCGCTGCGCCCCCGAAGCCGGCAGCCGAGCGGGCCGCCGGCGAACCCGCGCCCGCGGGTCACGGTGACCTGTTGCGGAGCGGCCCGCAGCCCCGGTAGCCCGCCAGCCCGGGACCCGGAGGGGCTGGCGCTGCGCTGGCCTCCGGCCCGGAGCGCGGCCGGGGCCGGGGTCGGGGGCGCGGCCGGAGGTCGGGTTGTTGTACAGCTAGGAGCGGGCGTAGTGAGAGGAGAGATTCCGGACCGATCTGATCAAACACTTGCAAAGCCGGGATATCTGTCTGCAAATATCCGGAATTCCAATGCAGTATCGGATTAGGTAGGCTCATAAACACCATGCTTCGGAGGTGATTTGGCAGAAACCCGAGCTGAGAGTGAGGAGCCAATATCTGGAAAATAGCTGTAAACCTGTGCGGAGCTAAATTACCCTCCCACCTGCCCCCCTTGGAGCCCTTTTCCTGTAGCTCAGTGTTGTGTAGACGCAGGCCAGTTTCAGTGTACGTGGGCGTGTTTGGGAAGAAGCTGCGAGCTGATAGGAGGTACCTTAGTACAAATGTTAATTTGTTTGAACTGGGAGGGGTAGAGGAGGAGGAAGAAAGGGCATTGATGTTAACCGTGGAGGAGGGGCAACTGAAAACACTAAATTTCTTAAGAAAGCGCTTAAAAAAAAAAAAGTGTCATACCCGGCGTTTAAGTCCGTAAAGTAGGAAACACGGGCAGCAATGAATTGAGTTTTATCTTTTATGTGCCCTGGATTTTTTTTTTTCTTCCAGCGCTGTAGTTCTTATAGAGAGTCTTGTTTTCGTACTGGTGTTTATGAATTGACTTTGGTGTATTTTTGTATTCACCGTGAAGTCGGCGCTTGTTTAAGTCCCTTTGAAGATGACCATCAGAATCTTGGGGAACTTTTCGATCCATGTAGTCACAGATCATAGCATGCTCGCTATAAAGCCTGTTCCACCCAGATAATTATGCTTGTGCAGGTGGTGTAGAATCATAAATATGTGTATTACTGTCCTGTTACTGCTGAATATCTTACTATGAACTTGAGAATTAGGAAGGAAGTTATCCAAACGGTATTATTTTAATAAAAAATAACTACTAACTCCAGCTTTGTGTGCATACAATTCATAATCTAGTTTTAAAAAATTTGGAAAATAACTTTGCTTAAAAATCGAATATAAGGATATTAGATGCCTTTTTGCATTAATAATTTCACTGTAATTTATTTTAAGCTTGGTTTATTTTCCCTCTTTAAAATTCAGTATAATTTTGAAATGGTGAGATCTATTTTTCTATTTCATTCCACCTTTGATTGAATTAAGGAATTTGACTTTTGAAAATGTCCTGGGTGAGACACTGTTCATTTTGCCTACATTATTCCACATTGCAACAGAACGTTAAAGATGGTGTTTGCTTTATCAAGATTGCAACATGTTTTTCTGATACATATGTGTGTATGCACATATATATATCAGAAAGAACATACCAAAATTTCTCAAAAGAAGTTTTTTTGAACTCTTTTACTTTTTTTACTTTTATTATACACGTAAGTAATACACTTGTGTGTGTGTTTAAGTACCTACATGTGTCTTTTTCAGTTTATCACGTTATTACAGTTGACACTATAGTTGTTTGTAATGAGTGATGGATATATAAGTGAAAACGTTCTTTTGCAACGTAAAACACTTAAGCTTTAGTCTAGAGGCCCATTTCACTCTCTCACTCACCCATTCCATTCCATTCCATTCCATTCCATTCCACACATATTTCTTGAGGACCTACTTGGTGCCAGTTAGGTGCCTCAGTTTTGGGGATACAACAAAGAAAAAGGTCTGTGCTCTGATGGAGTTTAAAGAGTAAGTGGGCAAATAGTCCACTACTCTACTGTCAGATAATGCTGTTTGTTTAATGTTAGTTTAAAGGATTAAGAAGTAACAACTCTTGCCATGAATTTTAGTTTAAGGATATTGTTTGTGTTTTTCCTTCTAAGAATAGTGGGAATTATTACTGAGTGAACAAAAGCATTAAAGCAGTTGTTTAAAAAAGATGCTGATGTTTATATACATGGAGTATCTGGTTCTCAAGTGTAACCAAAAATAAACATTCTACCTGAAGTCAGATGATGCAGAGTTTACATGTGGTTAAACAGCTTTAGTCTTTTGGTTTGTATAGTTAAATATTTGCTAAAAATAATCTCTCGGCACTTATTTGTTTATACGGGAGTCTCTTTTTTTAAGTCTAAATTTTTAAAACATACTCTCTTCTTCTGGCACGTGTGTGTGAGTGGACTGGTGTCCTACTGTTCTCCCATAGAATCTGATAACCATTACTGCTAAAATGAGAGAAACTTAACTGAAAGTGATAGTTTTTGTTTTTGATTAAAATATGACAAATACTGGTATAGTTCTTTTTGCAGATAAGAAAGCTTTTATGTATATGTTATTGATACTTAAATACATGAGTATTTCTCATTGAGAGGACTGCCAATAATTAATTTTGACCCTATATAGGTGTTACTGTTTCCCTTTTATTTATTGTTTTCCAAAGAGAAAGCATGAGCTGGGGAGAGGCAGAGGGAGAGAAAGAGAGAGAATCTTAAGTAGGCTCCACGCCCCAAGCTGGGCTTGATCTCATGACTGTGAGATCATGACCTGAGCCAAAATCAAGAGTCTGGCGCTTAGCTGACTGAGCCTCCCAGGTGCCCCTGTTTCCATTTTAGACCAATAGTAAGCAAGCAGTCAACCCAGTACCCGGTTGTAGCTGTTACTATAGTCCAGCGCTCCATCTCCAGAGTGCAGAGCTTGGGGAAAGCGTCAGCATCTAGTGTTACAGGTCAGTGTACAATATGGTTACTGGTTTACTTTTCCAGAAATTTCTAAATACCTTTTAAATTTTAAATCCTACTCTTAATTGAAATGTAATTAGTTAAATTTGCTTTCTTTTCGTGAGTTAAACTTTAAAACCTATTTAAAATCTAAAAGTATCACTTTTTTTGCTATATAAAAAAGACACAGATAGTTTTGATGTACTTTTAATGGTATAAGTGTCTTGAGAATAAGATGTATTAAAATCAATCCTATTTTTTGAATATTAGGTTTTTATAACAACTATATTTAGAATAAAATTACCCCTTTAATCTGAATACTATATTTTTTCAGTTACTCAGTTTTCAGTGGAAAGATAATTCAAAAAGTTTTAAACTCTAACTCAGCCAGTGAGTACCTTGGAGAGGAAAGTTAATGTATTGCATTACACTATAAATTGTTTCTTTCTTTTTTTTTTTTTTTAAATGTTTTATTTATTTCTAGGAGAGAGAGAGAGAGAGACAGCGTGAGCAGGGGAGGGTCAGAGAGAGAGGGAGTCACAGACTGAAACAGGCTCCAGGCTCTGAGCTGGCAGTCAGCACAGAGCCTGACGCGGGGCTCAAACCCACGAACCGCGAGATCATGACCTAAGCGAAAGTCGGACGCTTAACCGACTAAGCCACCCAGGCGCCCCTAAATTGTTTCTTTAAATGTGTCTTATTCCCATTGGTTTAGGGTTCCTCTTTAGTGAGAGAATGAAGATTGGATGTGATAAATTTGGTAACTTCGAAGTAATGTGGAATTTTTTTTTTTTAATCTTGATTAATGTGTTGAGCTTTTGGTTTAGGAAAATGTTTAACTACATAGTTAAAATATAAATATCTATGTATTCTATGGAAAGAAAAATAAGTATAAATATACACAGTACCTTTATTTTTTAAATGTTTATTTGTCTATTTATTTGTTTAGAGAAAACGAAAACGGAGTGGGGGAGGGGCAGAGAAGGGGAGAAAGAGAATCCCAAGCAGGCTCCAGGCTGTCAGCACAGACCCTGATTTGAGGCTTTAACCCAGGAATCGCGAGATTGTGACCAGAACCAAAACCAAGTCAGATGCTTAACTGACTGAGCCATCCAGGTGTCCCTACCTAGTAACTTTAATTAAGGGCTAGTTATGGACGTAGGAAGACTATACATAGCTGTGTTTGTTCATGACTTAGGTTGAGGGTCCCCAGCGATTTATATGTCACTACCGAGAACTTTTGGTAGAGGCTCTTGAATGATTCATTGCTTCGGAGTATGAGAGGCTAAAATGAAGTTCTCACTTAGAACTTAAGTGATACTCTTCTGTTATTTTACTTTTATGACATTAAAAAAATTTTTTTAATGTTTTATTTATTTCTGAGAGAGAGTGTTAGCAGGGGAGGGTCAGAGAGAGAGGGAGACAGAATCTGAAGCAGGCTCCTGGCCCTGAGCTGTCAGCACAGAGTCCAACTTGGGGCTTGTCTTGAACCCACGAACCGTGAGATCATGACCTGAGCTGAAGTCAGACGTGCAACCAACTGAGCCACCCAGGTGCCCCGACATTGTCTCAAAACACATTTTCACTTTCAGCTTGATTTTCCTTTTGCTGATTCTTGGAAGAAGCCCTTTTCTGAAAACCCTACTTAAATAGGATCCTTATCGCACTGTACCCTTACCTTTATTTTTC